ATGGTACTTTAAAACCATTTAGAACACAAAACATTAACAGTTAAACAAAAGCATACTAAATGAGCTGGACTACAAAGTTGGCTTGAACTACAAGGTCGGCAGTTCAAGTTCACCAGCTGCTCCTTGGAAACCCTATACAGGGTCGCTATGGGTTGGGACTGACTCAACGGCACTTACCAACATTATCATATAAATAAATAAAACTTACCATCTAAAATTAAAAAAAAACAAACCCTATTTTAAGAAGTAATGATTTCAGAAAGTATCACTTTCATAATGCTATTATTTTCCAAAAAGGCATTGTTGTTGTTACTAAGTGCTGTCAGTTCCAACTCATAGTGACCCTGTAGAGCGTTCCTGAGAAACAGCTGGTAGGCTTGTGGTTCACATCCTGTAGCACCACATCAAAAGTCCAAAAAGGCGTTGTGGTCGTTGGAGTAGGTTCCAACTCATAGCAACCCTGCTCCTGAGGAGCAGCTGATGAGTTTGAACTGCCAACCTTGTGGTTCAAACCGACCTTGGGTATTACAAGAAATTAAAAAAAACAAATTTTAATCAGTAATCATTCTATACTTTTAGTCTGTTTTTCATCAGCCTTCACATTCAATTTAATAGTACCCATTGGCGTGGTGCTGTGGGTTAATGCACTGGACTGCAAAGTCGGTTTGAACCACAAGGTCGGTTTATAATATATAATTTGCAGCTGGTTCAAGATCACCAGCTGCTCCTAGGAAACCCTATACAGGGTCGCTATGGCTCAGAATCGACTTGATGGCACTCAACAACAACAATTGTTCAGAGAGTTTTAAAATTTTTAACACCATTGCTAGGTAACATAAAACCACCTTTAATTCATGTATGGAAATGTTCTAGGATAATTCAAAATTATTTACGTGTATCAATTACGTTGTTGTTAAGCCGCGGTTGACTCACAGCAACCCTGTATATGATTTTCAAGGAGCACTGGTGGGTTTGAACTGCCAATATTGTAATTCCCAGTTCAGTGCTTAACCTACAGTGCCACAGTAAGACTATAGTCCCTTTAAGTCAACAGTTCTGAAGTGATTAAGCTAGCAGGTTTAAACAGACCCTGGGGTTACGGACAACTCTATATACCCAACCCACAGAACAGAATTACCCCATAGCATTTCCAAGGCTGTAAACCTTAAGAGAAGCAGACTGTCACATCTTTCTTCAACAGAGTGGCTGATTGGTTTGAACTACCAACCTTTCGATGGATGGCCATGTGCTTTAACCACTTTAACTACCTTACACTTCAGCTTTAACTACCAGAGCTCCTTCAAACAAATCCAACTTGCCCTTTAATTTTATGTAAATTAATCCTCACTTTGAAACGAATGAACCAACCCCATACTGGAAACAAATTCTTCTGCACAATCACTCTCACTTGCTAGATGCAGTTTGTAAATGACTGAAGAGACTTTAGTGCAGTCTTATACTAACCAAAAACCCAATCAATCCCACTTCCATCGATTCCAACTCATTACAGTCCTAAAGGACACAGTAGAACTGCTTCTTTGGATTTCCAAGACTGTAAATCTTTACAAGGAGCAGACAGCCTCCTCTTTCTCACACAGAGTGGCTGGTGAGTTTACACTGCCAACCCCTCAGTAAGCATCCCAACTCTTAGCCCCTGTTCCACCAGGGCACCTTTTTTGCATTAAGGTACAGTTAAATAAGAATAATACGCACCTGTTTCAACTGTCTACAAATTCCATTTAAAGACAAAGTTAGAAACATAACCTGGGAACTGTACAAGGGGGCTTCAAAAAGTTTGTGGGAAAATGGAATGAAAAGATAGTGGAATGTTGCCATGAACTTTGTGAAGTTCCCCTCACATTACAAAAATAAGAATGGTATCAATTTCAAATTATATACTACAAACTACTCCCACTGGTAATGAAAATAAATTCCTCCGGGTGGCAATTTGGTTATGGAATGTTATATTGTCCAACAGAATCTACACAGTGGTTCTCTTCTTGCTTCCTATAATTCTAACACAATCTCAGAGCCAAGGAACAGAAGGCTGCACAGACCTCTCTGGTTGATGAGGAAAAATCCAAGAATTAAGTAATGAAAGTGACTCTTAGATTAACAGTTTGAACAGCAAAGATGAAGAAGCTCTGCCCCAAAATAAAGGACATATCAAGAGGCATTTTGAGTCCAAGACTGAGAAATGAGAAGCCAAGATAAACAAGCCCCAGAAAGGTTGCCTTCAACATTAAATTCAGGGTGAGTCACGTCCATCTTAGTCACTCTTTGGGTATAAGGTCAGAGAATTTCGGTATAAGAAAAGAGATACTGAGAGGGGATGTGGCACTGTAGGATAAGCACTGGACCACCGGTCAGTTTGAGCCACAAGGACAGTGGTTCAAACTCACGTCACTCCTTGGAAACCCTATGCAGGGTCGCTGTTGAGTCGGAACCAACTTGACAACACATAACAACATTTGGACTTTAAGAGAGTTGTATTTATTCCATTTTCTCTAGGATAGTCCATCCTACTGGAAGACATTAACTTCAACCATTTTGATATTTACATCTCTAATAACAAAGTCTAAACTAAGATTGGGAGCCCACCAGCAACTCCTCGGAAACCCTACACAGGGCCTCTCTGATTCAGAACTGACTCCACAGCACTTAACAACAATAACAACTAACTATGCTTAAAGTCTAAAATTTAAGTAAAATTTCTCAGCAGGTATCTTTACCCACAACAGGAATTCACCAAAATTTCAGAATTTGATAACACAGAGCAACTTCCAAATCTGAAAACTAAAGTGATAAACTGAGGATAAAACCCTCTGGTATGTAACTCACAATTTTCTATATACTTCATCAACCTTAACTGATGTACCTCCCAGTCCCTAAACCAGTTACCAGTACCATTCAAAGTTAAACAAAACTCCCAGAAGAGTTCAACTCCACATACAATGTTTTTAATGATGGTCTTGTAAGCATGTTCATAAACATAGCAACTGCCTAACTTCTGAACTGGAAAACACCTTCCCCCTTAGTGTCCCATTAAGAGTCTATGATCTTTTTATTAGGAATGTATTACACTAACTAGGAGTCCTGGTGTGGTGCTGTGGGTTAATGCATTGGACTGCAAGGTAGGCGGTTCAAGTTCACCAGCTGCTCCTCGGAAACTCTATACAGGGTCGCTATGGGTCAGAACCGACTCGACGGCACTTAACAAAACTACTAAGTATACTAAATATGTTGTTGTTGTTGTTGTTGTCAGGTGCCATCGAGTCGGAACCGACTCATAGCAACCCCATGCACAGCAGAACGAAACAATGTCCGATGTTGTTAGCTGCCATTAAGTTGGCTCCCACTCATGACAACCCTGTGCACAATGGAACCAAACATGCCTGATCAGGCACCATCCCCATAATCTATTGCAGACTGAACTGTTTTGACCCAGAGAATGTTCTTGTCTTAGTCCAAAACCCAGTCAATATCACAGCAACATGTAAAGATCACTGACAGATAAGTAGTGGCTGCATGTGAGATGCACTGGCTGGAAAGTGAACTCAGATCTCCCACACAGAAAGTGAGAAGTCTACCTAATAGGAAGTGACTTGAAAAAGTTCGTGGAAAAATTCTATTATCTTTTAATTCCATTTTTCTGAGAACTTTTTGAAGTCCCTGTAGAGTAAAGCATTTAGAGATTACATTACCTGTAAGTGAATAAATATAAGTACATATATATATACACGAACCTTAAGGTCAGCGGTTCGAAACTACCAGCCGCTCCGCGGGAGAAAGATGAGGCTTTCTACTCCCGTAAAGATTTACACCCTCGGAAACCCTGTACAGGGTCGCTATGGGTCGGAACCGACTCTACAGCACTTAACAACAACAACAAATATATATATATGTGTGTATATATATATATATATAAAAACACACATATTAACACATACATACATACATATACACATATCAGATCCTCACTTATCTTGTCTGCTGCCTTGCTGTCCAGCACATTAACCCAAAGCTCCACACCAGGACTCCTCAATTTCATATACTCTATATTACATTCTTTTCTATATCACTCCAAGGCCTATCCTATGACTTATCACCAACTATGTCTTTTCAAATTGGACTCCAGGGACAAATGGAGTTGTACTGTCTGTCTTTATGTACGTTTGCAATATCCAATTACAAATTCAAAATGGGAAACACAGCCATATTGGTTTACATATGGCCATTTATAAGGGAGAAAAACATTCACCAGATTTACACTTGTTCTCTGGTGGTGGTGGTAGTGTGCCATCGAGTTAGCGCCAAATCACAGTGACCCTGTTATAGGGTTTCCAAGGCTATAAATCTTCTCGGAAGCAGAAAGTCTCATCCTTGTTCGGTAGAGCAGCTGATAGACTGACCATGCACTACTGACCATGCACTTAGAAGCCCAGCTAATAACCCACTAGACTACCTCTAGAAGGTAATTAAGAGAAAGGAGCAGAGACCAAAAGAAAATGATCTACAATCTAAAAGTTCTTGAAAACACAATAGTCTTTGACAGTCCTGCTTTTCAAGGTCACTTGTTTTTAAAAAATAATTGCTCTTCAATAGTGAACATGTTCCTAAACCAGACACTGAAAGTAAAATGAAATTTTAGTTTAATAATCAACACACACTTTGATATGGGTTGGAGTTCATCTTTTACCTTAAAAACAAAGAGCCTGCATCTGTCATTCCCATATCAGGTTGATGAGTTTGTTTAAATGAAGGAAAACAGTCCCTTCCATGCATGCAAATTCTCACGTCTTGATATTCCTGCATATTCTAAATAACTGAACGTTAAGAAGACATTAATGATGGTTTAGACACTCAAGAGACACAACCTCAAAACGGTCTACTAAAAGAGATCTATTTGATTCAAGAGAGGGGACCAGCAGGAAAAAGGGGCGGACACGACCTAAAAAGCTGCTTCCCAGAGCAGGCGCGCCCAGTTTTTAGACACTTACTGGTTTGCTAGGGTACACGTTAGATAGATGCGTTTTTAGTTTCCCCACGGTCCAGTTCAAGAAGCAGCTAATAGTCTGGTCACTGTATTTCTGATTCGGTGCTTTAATTATGAGAGTCACAGGAATCTCCATTCCACTTTGATCCATAGTGCCCCCAGAGTCGGAAAGAATCCAGAGAAGCAGCAGTTCAGCCCAAGTGAGCCCAGGTGGTTACTGCCTGCGCGACTCGGTTGGGGAACAGGCGTGAGATCTTAGCATTTCATGTCCCAGTCAGTCACAAGCGCATCGGGAGACACGAAGGCCATTGCCATTGCCAAGGCTGGACAGAGGCAGCAGCAGCGGCGGCGGGGTCTGGGGGCCCGGCAGTGGGTGCAGATTTCTCCGCCAGGTTCGGGCTCCGCCTGGCTCCCGACTGCAGAAGAAGGCGGGGAACAGAGAGAAGGAGAGCGATGAGAAGGGCGGACGGGGTGAAGGTGCCACGGCCCGGCCACCACCCGCCCCTATCGCCACCCGCCTGAAACGCAACAAGGCCCCTACGCCACGGCCCTGCCGCGCTGGCCGGAGAAGGGAAGGACCGGGCCTCCTCCAGCCGTTGGAGGGGTACCTGACTGGATGCCGTAGGGCCCGCCACCGCCGCCCTCTGAGCCTGGCCGCCGACGTCCTCCGCAACTGCCTCTCCCTTCCTGCTGCTCGGCGGCGGCAGTCACGGCCCGGCTCCGGGTCTCGCGAGGCGGCGCGCGTGGAAATAGGGGGAAGTTGGCTAGACGGTACGGCCCTACTCTCCGCTTGACCCTACGGGCTGGGCTGGGCTGGGTAGGGCAAGGCCAGGCCGGGCCGGGCCGGGCCGGGCCGGGCGGGCGCGGTGGAGGTGGCTGCAGGTGGCAGGAGGGCGTAGACAAGAGCCGCGGCGCCAACTGCGCGCGCAGGTTTTGTTGTTGTGCGGCGGTTCTGGGTCCCCCCCCTTAAAATCGGAAGCCGCAGGGCGGAAGTGCGTCACGCGCAGCACCAACAGGCGCGTTGCTTCCCCTGCCCCTCTGTCCAGCATGCCCTTAACACCTTGAAACTACACGGAATTGAGTGGTCTGGCGCCTAGGGGTCTCCCTGGACAGACTATCCACTTAGCCCAACCCCCAGATGCTAACATTACCTTATGACCACACCCATTTCCATCCTGAGAGTTCCCTTTGGAAACGTAAATGTCCCTCCTGATCAAAATTAATTAAAATTTATGGAATATGGACCATTTGCAAAGGGCAGTGCCAGGAGCTGTGGCAGGGAACGGACTGTGAGGTACCTTGAGTCCAGGGCAAAGGCTTTGCATGATCCTTGAAGTCTATCTCCAGTGGCTGCATGAGGCTGGGGAACCTCCCTGAGCCTCAGTGTATTCTGTAAACCAGAAAGGTTATGCCTACCTAAATGCTTGTTGATAAGTAAAGGTGGTGGTGGTGGTTGTGTGCCTTCAAGTCTTTTCCAACTCAAAGCAAACAATGGTTACGAATCGGGCTGCTAACCTCAAGGTCAGCAGTTCGAAACTACCAGCTGTTCTGGGGGAGAAAGATGAGGCTTTCTGCTCCCATAAAGATTTACAGTCTCAGAAACCCTATACAGGGTCGCTATTTGTCCGAACCAACTCCACGGCTAATAACAACAACAACAACAACAAGTATTTACTGGGACAGAAAACCTCATCTTTCTCCTGAGGAAGGCCTGGTAAATTCAAACAGGTGATTTCATGCAACCGCCAGGTCAGCAGCCCAACTCATAATCCACAGCTGTGTGTATATGTAAGCCATCTGGTACAATCCCAGGGTATGGCTTACTCAAATGTTAATTTTCATCTCTTTCCTCTTAATCATCACAAAAGTTATTTATTGAGTGTCTAACCTGTTGGAAGACAGCTATCTGGCCGACTGATTGGAAGAGATCGGTATTTGTGCCCATTCCAAAGAGGTGACCCGATGGAATGTGGAAATCATCAGACAATCTCTTTGATATCCCATGCCAGTAAAGTTTTACTAAAGGTAATACAGACATGGCTACAAGCATACACTGACAGAATTTTCAGAGGTTCAAGCCAGATTCAGAAGAGGCCATGGAACAAAGGATGTCATTGCTGATGTCCAATGGATCTTGGCTAAAAGCAAAGAACATCAGAAAGATGTTTACCTGTGCTTTATTGGCTACACAAAGGCTTTCAATTGTGTGGATCATGACAAGCTATGGACAACATTGCGAAGTATGAGAATTCTAGAACACTTAATTGTGCACATGAGGAATCTGTACATGGACCAAGAGGCAGTTGTTCAAACAGAACATGGGAACACTGACTGGTTTAAAATTAAGAAAGTTGTACGACAGGTTGTATTCTTTCACCATACTTATTCAACCTGTATGCTGAGCAAAGGATCCAAGAAGCTGGGTTATATGAAGAAAAACGTGGCATCAGCATTAAAGGAAGACTCATTAACAACCTGCGATATGCAGATGATATAACCTTGCTTGCTGAAAGTGAACAGGACTGAAAACATTTACTGATGAAGATCAAAGAGCACAGCCTTCAGTATGGATTGCATCTCAATGTAAAGAAAACAAAAATCCTCACCACTGGACCAATAAACAACATTCTTATCAATGGAGAAAAGATTGAAGTTGTCAAGGACTTCATTCTTCTTGGATCAACTATCAACACTCATGGAAGCAGCAGTCAAGAAGTATTGCATTAGGCAAATCTGCTGCACAAGACTTTTTAAAGTGTTGAAGAGCAAAGATGTCAGCTTGAGGACTAAGGAGCACCTGACCCAAGCAAGACACAGTATTTCCAGTAACCTCATATGCATGTGAAAGTTGGACAGTGAATAAAGAAGACCGTAGAAGAATTGGCGCTTTTGAGTTATGATGCTGGAGGAGAATATTGAAAGTGCCATGGGCTGCCAAAAGAACAAACAGATCCGTTTTGGAAGAAGTGCAGCCAGAGTGCTCCTTGGAGGCCAGGATGGCTAAACTTCGTCTCTCATGTTGTTGTTGTTAAGTGCCGTTGAGTCGGTTCTGACCCATAGCGACCCTATTCAGGGTTTCCAAGGCTGTAAATCTTTACGGGAGAAGAAAGCCTCATCTTTCTCCCGTGGAGCGGCTGGTAGTTTCGAACTGCTTACCTTACGGTTCACAGCCCAATTCGTAACCACTACGCTACCAGAGCTCCTTACTTTGGACATATTGTCAGGAGGGAGCAGTCGCTGGAGAAAGGATATCATGTGTGGTAGGGTGGAGGGTCAGAGAAAAAGAGGAAGACCCCCAACGAGATGGATTGGCCAAGTGGCAGCATAGATGGACTCAAGTGTGGCAACAGTAGTGAGGTTGACCCAGGATTTGGCAGTGTTTCGTACTGCTGTGCATAAGGTCGCTATGAGTCGGTACCAACTCGATAGCACCTAACAACATCTGATCAGGTTCTAGTCAGCTCAACAACCCTAGCCATCTAAACTAGGTCAAATGAGTACCAGCTGCAAGTTCGGAAGTTCACACACACCTCCCTGCACTTCAAAACAGTCTTTCCTCTTATTTCATCTTAAAGTCAGTGGGTGCCATTCACAAGTAGACCCAGGTGATCATCAACAAGCATCCGCTGGTTCCCTTCACCTTTCAGTCCTAGAAAGGGGTTTTCTTTGATGGGCCAACTTTCCTTGCCATGAAGTCTCTGATACCTTTTTTTTTTCTTTTTCTTTCTTTCAATCACAAATCTCCTGTATTTTCAACAATACTGGGTTGGTGTGCATGTCTTTTCAAATGCAAATGTATTAACTCTGAAGTTCTGGGTGGAGCTCAAGATTCCACCTTAAAGTTATGGACAATTCCTAACTCCCTTTTAACAAATCCAATCAGGTATAGGCCGAAGGTGAGCTAAGAAACTTTCTGTAATCATAATTGCCAATATTCCTATTACGCATGTATGCTTGCTCAGAGTATCTGTTTTACAATACTAGGCAGAAGTCAACAGCCATAAGGCAGTCAAACACATTGTTGGTGTTATTGTTATGTGCCCTGGAGTAGGTTCTGACTCATAGTGACCCTGCATAGGGTTTCCGAGGCTGTAAATCTTTACGGGAGCAGAAAGCCTCATCTTTCTCCTGTGGAACAGCTAGTAGTTTGAAACTGCTGAGTGTGTGGTTAGCAGCCAGATTTCGTAAAACACTATGCTACCAGAGCGCCTTAGTCAACCTCATTAACCTTTTAAAACACTCAAATTCCATCTTCCCCTCCACCTTAGACTAACCCCATTCATATGCATATGGCCTTGGGCCTCCAGCAGGGTGGATTCCAATAGTCGCTGGCCACAGATCAGCTATCTTTTCTATCAAGTATGACATCAGGCTACTCCAGAAGCTACTCTCCTTTCAGCTGAAGCATTTTATCCCATTCCCCTCTGTTTTGTCTTCCACAAACCCTTACAATTTCTTAGGTCTGGAGCCATTGTAATGAATCCTTCTCACGGCACCAAATGCTGACACCAAGTAGGAACCAAGTCTGAAATTCTACTAATATGAGAAAGGTGAGGATTGAAGTAGCTATCTTTTCCCACTTTCCAAACCACCCCTCTAACCATTCTGTAAAAGGATCACTAGCTCCAGTGTTTTCAGCCCATTCATTAGCTCTGGTGCTTAATTCTTGCAGGTCCTTTGTGATATTATGGACCTCTATTGCTTAATTAAGGAGCTCTGGTAGCGTAGTGGTTACGAATTGGGCTGCGAACCACAAGGTCAGCAGTTCGAAACTACCAGCTGCTCCGTGGGAGAAAGATGAGGCTTTCTGCTCCCGTAAAGATTTATAGCCTCGGAAACCCTGTTCAGGGTTGCTATGGGTCAGAACTGACTCGACAGCACTTAACAACAACAACTAACATTGCTTAATTAATTCGGTCTACATTTTTTTCAAAAAAGTATACTCAAACCCTGCAGCTATCCAATTCTTAGCTTTAAGCTCCTTAGGAACTCCCATGGAGTTTATATATTTATATGGATCAAGAGATCCAGGCAGAGATCTCCAGGCTCAAGATTTCTCATGTTGCTCAGGTTTCTTGCAGAACACTTTTGTTGTTGTTGTTGTTGTTGTTATGTACCGTGGAGTCGGTTCCAACTCATAGTGACCCTGTACAGGGTTTCCAAGGCTATAAATCTTTACGGGAGCAGAAATCCTCATCTTTCTCCCATGGAAGAGCTGGTAGTTTCGAACTGCGACTGTGAGATTTGCAGCCCAATTCAGAACCACTATGCTACCAGAGTTCCTTTGCAGAACACTGTTGTTGTGTGCCGTGGAGTCGGTTCCGACTTTTAGCGACCCTGTACAGGGTTTCCGAGGCTGTAAATCTTTACAGGAGCAGAAAGCCTCATCTTTCTCCCGCAGAACAGCTGGTAGTTTCAA